TAGTTTATAGATAGTACTTAATGAATGTGAACAAATTAAAAGAAGACAATAGGTTTTTTTTCCTTCTGATTTCTGCCATTTTTGCATCTGTCACAGACTTGCCAGCTACTGCACCAGGGCTTCTAAAAATCTATCTCTCCGCATATACAGGTGATAAATGTCATCAGTCACAGGTGCTGGTAATAGGAGTTTTCAGGCCTGATTGTCATTTACACCAGAGTCCCATTAGACCCCTCACCCTTGTCCCTGGAAGCGTCAAGGGGCCTACATTGTATAAAGGAGTCTGATTGTCACTGAGAACCAAGCCCATCCTGTTCAGGATCTGTCTGTCCAAACAGCTGTTCTGCATACAATCCCTATCGCCTATACACGTGTGCTATTGTAGTCCAAAACGTGAACCACAGAAGAGAAGGATGCTCTTTAAAAAACAATCTGATTTCAAAGCAACTAACTACCCACAAGAATGAGATCATTCATGAGTATTTTCCAAGACACTGGTCCTAGGATAGTCTTATTGGCGATGCTATGAGACAATAACTATTACAATATTCAGTGATAATCAATTGGAGGGAATGGGGGCTGATCATCATGTTTTCCCTGCAGGATTTTATGGGCCTTTTGTGAAGACCGAAAACATTGAGACCCTAATTCCAATCCAGCAAAGAACTCAGGCTTGGGCATAATTTAAGCAGGAGCGTAAATCCACTCATACTGAAGTGTGTTGCGTTTTGCCAAACAAGGCTGGTCGAAAACAGATGCTTAATTTACAGCACATGCTCCAGGGCCCCGCTGAATAATGGGCTGAGGAGTGTTGGTTCTATCAGGAAGCAATGACATGCATTTGCAGGAACTAATAGCGGGAGACATTACCGGTGTCACATTATCTCCCAACAACATTGCTAGTGGGTGTCACTGCAGCAGCTTCACATGCCCTGTCAGATTTGGTGGGTTTTTTTCTCTTTACTACAACAAAGCCTCACTTCTAATGACTCTTGCTATGCAAGGAGGTCATGCTGAAGGTTACTCTGTGCAGCAAACACTTGCTCATGGGAGCTACTCGAGCACATCCAGAGGTGCGCTGAATTTTAAGTCAGTTTGAAGGGTCTCCTTCGTGAGCCTTTTACAAAGCACAATGGCTTTATTTTAATAAAAATGGATAGTGCGCGGTACCTGTCTCTGCTTTAGAAACATGTGCATCTGCTTCCAGTAT